ATCTTTGTTACACATAACATTCCCAACCACTCCTTTCAACTTATCAATTTTGCAAGTGTTAATATCAATTTTCTGAAAAGACTTTTTTGATTTAACAAATTCACTACTCAAATTATCAATTTTAAGTTCCAGTGATTTATTAAACAAATTTACCTTCTTAAGCTCCTTTTCTAGAAAATCAATTTTATGAAAAAGATTCAAATTCTTATGGCCAATTTCTTTCAAATTTTTATTAGAGACAGAAACTTCTAACTTATAAATATTTCTACCAAGTTTCGTAAGATTCAATTTCTATAACAAATTTTCAAAAATATTTTTGAACTTAGACCACTCAATTTGCATGCTTATGACAAAATAAAAAACAGAAATTAAAGGCAACACATCAACAGATGAATTTTTAGACATGATGCAAATATCAACAATTAATCAACAACTATGATCTACTCTGTATATTAAGTAACCCGCTCTGATACCAAATTGTGAAAACAAGAGTTATGCGGGGTGCGAAAACAGTCAGTTAATTTTAATTATGATTCACTTCTTTAATGACCTAGATCTGATTATTAGGTCAACTTGCTCAATTTATGATTGATTAAATTATATGATCTATTTAAACATCCACTATCACAAATATATGTAAAGTAAAGCAAGTTAGAGTTAGAAAAATTGCACCAGGATTTTAGCAAGGAAACCCTAGTTGATAAAATACGTCAACTATTATGGGAAAAACCTCGTAGACTGTGCAGTCAAAATAAACCAATCTACTATGCTTGAAACAAAGTATACCGAACTTTGACTCTGACTCACACCCCATCGTTCTACACCACACCAACCGCTGATAATCATCTGACTCTGTGACTCCCCATCTAACAGTAACTTAACCTCAGGCTTACACTTGATATTTATAGCAGAGTAGCAGGTAGATCAAACAGCACTCCACAAATGCTCCAACCCTTTCAAAGTGTGACTGTGTTTAATTCTGTTCTTCAAGATTGGAACTCGATTGTAAAATAATTAAATCGTGCTGATCATTCGGAATATCTGAATCTTTAATACAACTCCAATTCCGATAAGGTAGAGAACAACACAACTAAATCACTCATGAATATATATGTGTGCTCTTAAAAATAAATTCATCAGATTTGATTTGTTGAATTCTTCCCTCTCTAAAGGCTTTCTCAAAATATAGAATTGATTTTCTCTAAAGCCGTGAATAAACCAATGTATATGACATGGTTTATATAGAATTTTGAAAGTCCTAATCCCTTAGAAAATACGATAAATTTTGTGCATAGGACTTGGAAGGAAATTGTGATCAAAAAGTAAACATCAGAAGAAGGAAACTTAAAAACCTGATGCATCCAGGACTTCTTGAACCTGTTTAGAGGGGCTGAATCGGTTCAAGATGGCTAGTACAGAATCCCACAATTCTTGAACCGGTTCAAGATGGCCAGTCTTGAAATTTTGGCAATTCTGATGATGTTGAACCTGTTCAATAAATCTTAAACCAATTCAAGATGGACAGAATGTAAAAACTTGTTCTGAACCTTTCAAAACCCTTCCTAAATGTTCTCACTACCTCTCAAAACTTCTTAGAGCATTATTCTCATTATCTCGGAGTGTAGTATATCATGAACACTTGAACTTCTTCAAATCCGTATCCGATCTTCAATCTTGAAGTTGTTGAACCGGAAACTTATAACTCGATCGGACGTGTTTTGACAATGAAATTAGCCAATTACAAAATATATATCTCACAGAAACTTCCGGAATAAACAGTAGTAAAAAAGGCCCGTATCAGCAATCCCAATTCCCTTTTGAGTAAAAGTAGCCATCAAGATTTTCATGGATGAACACACCTACTAAAATGGAAGTTCCCATGGAGCTACTTACAGACTGAAAAAAATAATAATAATAAAAAATAATAATAATAATAATAATTAATTTCGGGAGGTTTTAACACTTTTCAAATTTATGAACTTTGATCAAAATCTGATGTGAATAAGAAAAAATACTATTCATTTATCCAAACTATCCATAATAATTGACCAATGATTTGAGAAAGTAAAAATTAATGGAAAATTCATAATTCTAATAAGTCAATTCATAAGTCAAAGGCAATAAGGTACTTTTAATTTCATTTAGGAGTGTCATTGTTCAATTTACCAAACTTGAAATGTTTCCTTGTCCAAAAAGTGTCTATTTTGTAACTACTTATCTTTAACCCAAACTTGGGGTGTGATTTACCTTAAATTTTAATATCAAATAAACTTAATTGGTTAATAATTAGGACAAGTGCTGAAAAAACATTTCTACTATGCTCACAGTGCGTCTCCACTTATACAAAACACCCTTAAAGTATTAATTTCATGCAAATAAGTTACATTCCCTCCTCTGTGGTGGAGTTGGCAATTGCATTGCAGACCGGGAAATAATCATCTTGCCAGAATCCACCAGGTGAGCTGAGTGCAGCTTGGAATGTGGCTGTTGCAATTAGTACCGCCACAGTCAATACCGCTTGAGACATGTCCTTGTTTGCACATTTCTTTCCTGCACCAACTGAGCATGCATGATCACCTAGCTCCACAAAAAAAGACATGTCCTTGTTGAACCTTCTCACGAAGAAAGAAGAATCAGTGTCGATTCTCTTGCTAAAACCAGGAAGCTTCCCTGGGTAAACGCGGTCAAGCACATCGAATAGCATTAGCCGGTCTTCACGCGTAGTCCCTGCCAAACACAAAGAAAATTCGTACTAAGACCTACTTGAAAGGGCAGAAAAAGTAAGTCTAAGTTAACAGACATCCACAACATCTTTTCAAAAAATTACCTAACGGCCGGTCTTCACGCGTAGTCCCTTCCTAGTTGTGAAATACAAACCTTTATATCATTAAAAATTCAAATGAATTGAAAAAAAAAAAAAAAAATTGTAACAATTAGAATGTTATTTTTAGTAATAAGGTACCTCTTAAAATAAATTAAATGAGACATCATTCAGTGATTTAGTTGGTAGAACACCCAATTCTTCAAACGGGTGCCCGTGTTTAAGTATCTTACCCTTAGTTTATCAGGACAAAAAAATATGTTCGGTGAACCAAATTCCTTGCAATTTACGTGGTAGGCTCTTCAAAAAAAAAATTATTTTTTTATTCCTTAGTTGTAGGCTCTTCAAATTTCTCTACCCTTACTCCGTATGCAGATGCAGTGAGCTTCGAATGTCTATAAGGGAAGTGTTTTTGTTCCATATGGACACTACTGAAATAATCATGTAACAGAATGCAAACATGACAATTTGTAAAGAAAAACTTTTATATTCGTATGCTATTGGTATCAGTTTTGACCGTAATATTTAAATTAATTTCTTGATTCCTCAAATCCATTGGGAAAGCTCAAGAAAAATAAATATTGCTTAGGGAAATGAGTAACTACGGGTATTTCTTTTATGCAGTTTCTGTTGTATATCAATGAAAGTATATATATCTCCTATCAACCATACAAAAGAATTTTCAAATATTTTCAATTTTATCACAAGTCGTATGTACCGTGTGCTTGCTTCATTTTCAATTTCATTTTCATTTTCATTTTCTTTTCTTTTTATTTTTTTATTTTTCCAATTGAATGGTAAGCTTGTATATAAAAAGAAAGAATGTACATGAGAATGTCGAACTTGGACACAACAGGGGACTTCAAGTGGAATGTTGGTTTTGGAAGAACAAGTGATATTTCATGCTTTACCAGTTCAAGGAATCCAATAGTTTGACTATTCATATGGAATTATGTAGCATGAAGATAATTAACATTTTCCTTTTAATTGGTATGAATTATGAAGTCCACTAATTTGATTCTAGCGTATTGATGAATTCAAAATTGGTCTGCATTGGTGTAACTCTAAGTAATTGCATAATTTGGGGGAGAGAAAAATAGTAGTTAGCATAATGGACACAAAAAGAAAAATCAGTGCAGCTTCCTCTGAATAAACTTGGAAACTTCCGGGTAAACGGTAGTGAAAAAGGCCATGGATCCCCATCAGCAATCCTGTTTTTCGTTTTGAGTAAACGTAGTCAAGGTCGTCGGGGATGAATCCACACCCAAAATCGAAGTTACCATGGAGCCGCTTACCCCACTTTTATTAAATTATATTACTTTATACACAAATTTATTTTAATAAATACGAAACTTAAATGCTAATTTTTTTTTTTTTTAAATGAGAAAAATGGTGAGAAAATGAGAAAAAATAAAAATAAAAATTGATGACCAATTTATTTAAGATTGTCCAAGGGCTATAGTGTGCTATATCAATTCTAACGTGGGAGGTGATCGAGAGTTCGAATCTCCTTAGAGATAAATGAGTGTGTGAATTTTTTTAAATAAATAATAAAAAGAAAGAAAAAGATTATTTAACATGCATGACAAAAACCATAAAGTCCATTAATTTGCATTAAAAAGTGGTGTATTGTAAATATACAAAATGTAAGAGCAACATTAATAAAAAATTAAAACAAATAACCAAACCATGATTAATAGTTAATTACAAAGAGAAAACATCTTCAAAGAAAATGATCGACAATAGGTAATTAGCAAAACTTATGGCATTCATTGTATTTAATTATGTAAATTGAGATTTATTAATCCAAAATTAAAGAAGAAAAGCGTGCAAAAGTTTTAGGTGTATGTTTGATATCCAATTCAGTACTTAATTTTAAACAAAAATAAGTATTATCTAATAAAGTGTATTTGATAACATAATTTATATTTCATTTTTTTAGAAAAAAAAGTAAAGGTTAAAACAAATGGTCTAGTACTGTCCAAGTAAATCCATGTAAGGGCTAAAACTCTACATCTATTAGTTGAATCCATTAGTTGAAGGTTAAAACACTCTTATTGCCTCTCAACAAAAAGAAGTCGTGGCAAACCAGACTTTTTGTACCTTTTTAGGGCTAAAAAGTAACCTAAAGTTTCAACATCGAGTGCTGAAACAGAATATCTGCTACAACGTACCGAACTCACATGGCTAACCATCTTAGTCATTTTTATTTTATTGTTTTATTTTTTATTTTTTTGGGTAAATAGAAAACCATTTAGTTCAGCTTCAGGAAGATGGAACTTCTTCATCCATGCCCACCAAGAAATACTTGAGTTATAAAAAACTGCAGGGTCATTGTTGTTGTATGACCCTGGGTTATTGTCCAACCATACAGTATTTCAATGCCATCCTCATCACCACCAATTAAATCCTTGCTCGTTAGAAAAGATCTCAAAAAAATAAAAAAAATAAAATAAAAAATAAAATGATTAGCCAAATAGTACAGAAAAAAAAAAAATGATTAGCCAAACAGGACCACTTGGACAATGTCCCTTCTTTTATAATAATAATAAAGCTTCTCCTAATTAAAATATTTCTAGTTGAAAATTATTTCTAGTATCTGTCATTCAACGATGTCATGAAAATAGTTGGTTGCCGAATTATGTAGCTCACTCATAATGAGTAGAAAATTTGGTTCTAGGAGTACATAATTTACCGGTGAAAAAGGAATTAGAAGGGTTTAAAAAAAATGAAGAGGAGGATGGGATCATACAGAATGTGTGGAATAATTGGTCCTTACAATCATAAAACAGTGCGCTTTGACCTTTCTAAAGCGACCATGAGTGGACAACAACATGACTTTAATGGTCCTTACAATCATACAGACTTTACTAGTGCATTTGTCATATGTGTAATACAAAAGAGACCATGACTCTACAACAATAGGACTACCATCGCCTTAGAAAATTTATCAACATTTTAGTTAAAAAAGGTTCGGGGCATTGGTTAGCTAGAGTCAAGTAGAAAGATAGATGGCATACCCTAAGAAAAAGGCGATAATGAGTACGTTTATTATATTAAGATGTTTGTTAAAAAGGATTATTAACTTGAGCAAGTGAGGAGCAAATATAATTGCCAAGATGCAAACCACATTTTGGGAATGTAAAAGCATGGCCAAGTAAATGTGAATTTTTGAGTCTGATGAGTCTGTGTTGATGGGGTGGATAAGGAACAAAGAGCAATAATAGGTGGCACATAGAAATAAGTAAGATAAACGTAGTAGTCTGTGAGGGAGGCCTTGTGTGTGGAGGCGGATTAAGCCCATAGAGGCATAAAAGGTCGCACTGTTTAACAAATAAAATTCAAAGAAATGGAGTGGTGTCATTGTTGAAGTCCCCGCGTAATGCTTCACGAGTACTTCGAAATGCATTGCCTCCTTTGTGTCGGCGTTGGTAGTTGTTTCTTGCCATAACCCACCAGGAGGGCTAAGCGCAGCTTGAAACGTGGCTGTTGCAATCAGTACAGCCACTGTCAAAATTGCCTGAGACATGTCATTTGGCAATTTCTTTTGGACATATGGTCCAAGGTACTTTTCTTTTATTTCCTGCACTGACATCTCTTTGCTGATCTCATCTATTTCTTCAAGGGGATCATGGTCAACAGATATACCCCTCAACACTTTAGCTCGGCATAGCATATCCCCAATCTCTCTGTTGTCCAATTCCATTGGAAGTTGAAAGATATCCAAAGCAGTTAAGCCCATGTTGTTTTTGGCATTTACCTTCATCTTCATAATCAAATTTTTGCTTAACAACAATTCCACAGCCTGCACAAGAGTAATCAAGACATTAATTAGATAGTTAATAGTAAGTAAACCTTCAATTCATATATAAGATCGAATTCTAAAGTGCCACCATTATTAATGAGAATTAAGATGATAATGTTGGTTCTTTAATCACGTACACTGTCGATATATATGAAAACAAAACGGGAAGGTTTGGGTTTTATTAATTTATTTATATTGGATGAGAGACTAACCTGAGTTTGATTTTTGGATGTGGCCGTATGCAAGACGGTGTTGCCATCCTTGTCTGGCCAGTTTAAGATGTCTTCCTTATTGACAACTTTTAGCCATCTAAGCAGCACTTCAAAAATTCTGAGCTTGTGGAATTTTAGAGCAATATGAATTACAGTTTCTTGTCTGGTTGTTAAACCCTCAATAGAATTGGGGGAAGCCAGTAGAAACACTTTCAAGAGATGACCATTTTCCATAGCAACCGCATAATGCAAAGGAGTCATGCCCTCTCTTCCCTGGTCGCGGACTAGGTTGCTGTCAACCGAGACAAACCACTCCACCATGCGGTCATGGCCACCAAGCAGAGCAAGCTGAATGGGGCTAAGACCATCTGGGTTGAGCTTCCTGGCATACGACGGCTTCAACCTCATGAGTTCTGCAGCGAAGTGTTGGTTACCTGTTGATGCAACCACATGTAAAGGAGTATCAGCAAACAAATTATCATCGATATTGTGCTCCAAAATACTTGGATCCTCTCGAATCAATGCATACAGACGTTCGATGCTTCCCTCATGAGCAGCCTCCCTCAACCTCGCGTCCATGTTCTACGACGGCTACTCTTAGGTAAATAGGCAGTTGACCAAGAACTGATGAATGTGTGATAATTGAGCATGGTCAGCTAGCTAGCTCCCTTCACTTTAATAGGAGTTTATTGGCTTTGTCTTGTTGATCCATCTTACACAAGGAAGGAAAAATCAGTGCAGATTCCGGTGATAAACCTCGAAACTTCACCTATAGATTCCTATTAGATGCCCCATTGACCTCTAAGTGGACGCAGTCAAGGTCTGTCATGGATGAATCCACAAACAAATTTCACTGTTTATTGAATTTATTACAGTAGTTTCTTTTTATATATGAAGTCATTAAGAATTACGAAAAATTAGATGCTAATAATATAGGATCTCACTTTAAATGAAACGACTGGAACAAAATTCAGTGTTTATATTCATAAAAACAACTAAAATGTGCTGGGTACGTGGTGACCCCATGTAAGAATAACACTAATATATAAAAATTAAAGCAAATAACCAAATCAAGACTAATTGACAAAACTTATGACGTTCTTTAATATATCTCTCAATAAATAAATTGGGATTTTTTAATTCAAAAAGAATGACCGCATGCAAAGCACTTAGGCGGTGTTTGATATTTCAATTCACTATTTGTTGTTTGATAAAATTATAAATTAAATACTGAAATTTTTAAGAACTGAATTTTGAATTTTAAGTGTTGAAATTTGAATTGGTAATAAAAATAAAATAAAAAAATAAAATAAATATATATATATATATATGGAGTAAATATCGTTTTGATAATTTTTAAACTTTCAATTAAATTATTTAGTGATAAGTAATATTCATGACATATAAAATTTTATCTCATATTAAATGACGTTTACCATCTTCAATTATTTTTGAATTGCATTATCACACACTTAATTTAATAAGTACTTAACTTATTTTAGAACTAAGTACTAAATTGAGTTATCAATCAACATAATTTTGAACAAAATTAACTTCACTCCACTTTCCAAATTTACACTACAATCCTAAATGAAATGGCAATTCTAGACCTAACTTTACAAGTAAATAATTATTACTTTTTAAATGACACAATTACTCTTTGAGATTTCTCCTTCTTATCTCTAATCTTTAATATTTTAGGTTTCTTTTGACAAGAAAAAAAAAAATTACAAGACCAAAAAAAAAAATTTATGTTAACTTGAATAAATTATCTCTTTTAATAAGACTCAAAATAATAATAACAATAATAAAATTACAACAACAACAATAACATCTCATTTTTATCCAATAAATTATTTCTTTTTTACCGGACCCATAAAAATTACCAAAAAAAAAGGTTACATATTTTGACAGGATTGAAAAAAAGTTAACTTTGTTGAATAAATATCTCTTTTGATTGTACAAAAAAAAAAAAAAAAAAAAAAAAAAAAAAAAAAAAAAAAGAAGAAAGAAAAAGAAGAAGAAGAAGAAGTCACTATGGAATAAATTATCTCTTTTGACAGCAAAAAATAAAATTATTTGTATGAATTGTCTTTCTCCAATCCTTTCTATTATGTGTCATTTCGCCTATTATATTCAACTTTTCAAAATCATTTTTAATAACCTCATCTCATGTTAGTTTTGGTCACCCTTTCCATCTTTTACCTTCTATGACAATTAGTCTTCCTCATTTGACTGACATATCGTTAAATCTCTAATGTTTGTGACCAAATCATCTAAATCTACTCTCTAATTTTCTTACCAATGGGAGCCACCCCATTTTTCTCTCATACCTTCATTAGTGATCCTATCTTTCCTAATCACTCCAATAATCCATCTTAACATTCTCATATCCGCTACACGACGACATTGTTCTTGTTTCTTTTCTAAGCCCAACACTCCACTCTATATAACATAGTTTGTCTATAGCGGTCGGATAGAAATATTCTTTTAACCTATTTTTTATTCTTTTATCACATAAAATCGCACTAGCTTGTCTTCACGTGGTCCAACCTGCTCCAATTCTACTAGTTATATCACTATCTCTTTCTATCCTTTTGTATTATCGATCTTAGAGAGCGAAAATAATTATTTTGAATAGTCTTCTGGTTTGAAGTGTTATCATTATGTTATCAAAATCAAGTCTTTATTAAATTTGCACTCCATGTACTCTGTTTTAGTTCGACCAATTCTTAATCCTTTTGATTTTAACTTCTCCACATTTCTAGTTTTATTGCTAAGGGCATCTCCAATGCAGTTGCCATATGAGTTGCCAATTCAAAATATAGCAGGTGGGTTAAAATTGGGCTCTCCAATGGACTGTTATATTGGCTGCCAAAATTTGCCTTTACCATTTTTTGTGTCAAATCTAGTAAAACAAATAGCAATAGCTATTTCTATATTTTGTGTCAAATCTAACAGAAATATATGAGTTTTGAACTTTTAATTACAAAACAAGAATTACAGACCTTCATATATATATATATATGCATACACAAAATCAAGAATTACAGACCTCGATTAGTTGATTTAGAAAAAAAAATTAAAACAAAACCCATACATACAAGTTAGCAGTTGCAGACAGCGGCTAAAGCTTGTGAACAGCGAACCCGAACTAGAATAGCGGGCGATGGAAACTGAAAGATATGGGTTTTGATTTTTTGAACAATCTGAAATGATACGCCAATATGGGTTTTGATATAGGTAATTGGTTTTGAACTTTGGATTCTTGCAAACAAATAGATAAACTGAAATATATGGGTTTTGAAGTTCTGATTCTTGTAGATTTTGTAGTTTGCAGTTGCAGAGAGAGAGAGAGAGGGCAAGTTCTCAGAGTTGAGAACGAGATAGAGATGGAGGCGATTGGAGGCTGAAATGATTTGCCCTAAAAATATAATCAAATATATATAATATACATATATATATAATATATAAATTTTAGAAAAAGAAAAAATATATATTATATAAAAAAAATTAATTGGTTAAAAAATAATAAAAATTTATTTTTTTATTTTTTATTTTTATTTTTATTTTTTGTTCATTTTTTTACCAGATATTTTAGATTTTTGTTTTTTTTTTAATTAGGTTTAATTTTAGTTTCCTTCTAATGTCTACAACTTGACTTGAAATGTGCTTAATATCAATATTACTAGTGCAAATATGAATGATGGAAATAGTAGTTGAAAAATAATGGTGGTTGTGTTAAAAAATAGCAATTTGCATGAAATGTACTATTAAAGCAAAATTATTAAAATGTAACATTTTGACACTGTAATATCTGTCAAAATATAAATTTAACATGTAAAAATGACTTTTAGCATTGGAGATTGTACACACAAATTTTGTAAATCTGCAATAGAAACAAAATATGGAGCAAATAATATAATTTTATTAATTTGAGAAATTAAGGTACAATCCTCTGTAATATTCTTTACAAAAAGAATTGAACTGGTACTCTAATTAAGTCTCATTTTTTTGTTGGTTGGTTGGATCCAAGGGTTGTACGAGCTTGATCTTAAATCACCGTGGAATTTGGATAACGAACGACACGACTTTGGATGTGCTTATTGTTGATCACTGTGGAATTTGATGAAGACCGGCACGATTTGATGTGCTTGGTGTTCTTCGCCTTTGGGTTTGATTGTTAGGGATGAGAGCTTTTGTATTTCTCTCTGGAACTCTGAATTTCTGAATTCTGAATTTGTGTACCCCTTCCTTCTTCCTCCAGGCCTCTATTTATAGGTTTCTTGAATTAATAGGATGATGACACGTGTCATCTCCTAATAAGGATAAAATTATAACTGGGCCGGGCCAGTTATATTAGGATAATTATCCTTAAAAATAATTATTCTAAATATATTTTATTAGAAATAATTATCTTTTCATTTAATCATCTGAATTATAGTAATTAAATAATTTAAGTGGATCAAACTTAAGTCAATTAAACCCATATTAAATAGGTCAATTTATCCGCACCAAACTCCATTAAATTTTTAGTGCCAACAGAGATGATTTAACATCTCTTTAAATGCGTCTAAGTGTCTAAGAGCATTGTATCATCGCCAAACATCATGCACCACACACACACGCGCGTCATCTACTGTTGCCGGTTATGTAGCTTTTAGTCAAACGTCAATCAATATTGAGAAATTCTTCTTTGTTGAAGTTGTCTTTTGTTGAACAGCTGTAAGTTTATTTCTGCTTTTTAATATAGATATAAGCATGGTTTGGGCACTTTTGTGCAATAACGTCGCATCATGTCCCCTCCTAGAACCTTGCATCGGCACTAAGCGTGGAACATGGACGGACAAACTCGGCTTAATCCGAATTCAATCCAAAAATTTTAAAATTTAAGATTTAAAATTAACAAATTGAACTCAAATCGAATTGAATTTTTTCAACCGAACTTAACCCAAAATTTAATTTAATTTTTTATTTTTCAAATTTCAAATCTTTTTTTTTTTTTTTTTTAATCCAAATTAAATTTATTACCGGACCTAAAGGTCCTGGAAATGTATGCCTTCCAGGCTTCCAAGAGGATAAAAATGGTCTTCTTTTGTTGCTTTTGGAATAATATCTTGATGTTAAAAAATGAAAACTGAGCAACCCAGAATATGTCATTCAAGTACTAGACGTACATTTACACACACAGTATATATACTATATATATATATATAGTGTAGTATAAAATTGCTAGAGTTGTACGTGAAGGTTCATTCATTATAGTATATGTGTTGACGTTTTCCAATGTACATTGGAATAATTAAGTAGTTCATGCGGCTCCACTGTTGTAAGTAGTATATATATATATATATATATATATTCGCTGATCGGAGAATCATTTTAACTCCTTGACAATTCTGAAATAAAATTTTACTTCTTTTGTGTTCCACATAAAAAGTTCAGGTGATATATAGATGTCTTTGTAATGTTAAAAAAATTCAAAGAGAAAATGGCAGTATCAATTAATTGAAAATTAAATTTTTTTTTGAAAAATTTGATTTTCAAGCCGAGGAAACAAAAAATGTGATTTTAGCATATTTGTTTGAAAAAATAAAATTAAAATAAGATAAATTTTATTTTTATTGTATTAATGAAATAAAATTAAAATTTAAAGCACACAAAAATTAATAATTGAATAGAGATGTAAAAATAAATGGTTTGCGTTTGGTTAACTTGAA